TTGGTTGTCGGTCCTTGCTTTACATCACTCTGAATATTTCATGCCAATCCCTTCTGGCCTGAAACGCTTCTGTTGAGAAACAAGCTGATAGTCTTATGGGAGCTCCTTTGTAGGTAAGAGTCTTTCTCTTGATGCTTTTAAGATTATCTTTAACTTTCCATTTTAATTATGATGTGTCTTGGTGTGGCCTCTTTGGGTTCACTTTCTTTGGGACTCTGTACTTCCTGGACTTGTGTGTCTTTTTCCTTTACCAGATCAGTGAAGATTTTTTTAGTCATTATTTATTCAAATTGGTTCTCAGTCCCTTGCTATCTATCTTCTCCTTCTGGAACCCCTATAATGTGGATGTTGTAGCACTTCACGTTGTCCTAGAGGTCCCTTGAACTATTCTCATTAGTAAAAGTTTTTCTTCTTTTTGCTTCTCTGATTAATTTTTGCTACCTTGTCTAGTCATTCCAAATCACTGATTCCATTCTCTGCTTCATCTAATCTGCTGCTCATGCCTTCTAGTGTATTCTTAATTTCAGATACTGTTCATTTTTGAGTGGTTATTTTTTGTGATTTCTATGTCCTTTTATATGCTTTACATTCTTACTTAGTTCATCCATTCTCCCCCTAAGTTCCTTGATCATTCTTATAACCATTGTTTTGAACTTTGCATCTGGTAGATTGTTTGCCTCCATTTCATTTAGTTTTTTGTGGGTTTTTTTTTCCTAGCGATTTCTCCTGTTCTTTCATTTGGGGCATGCTACTTTGTCTCCCCATTTTGGCTGCCTCTCTGTGTTTGTTTCTATGTATTAGGTAAATCTTTTATGTCTGCCAGTCTTGATAGGCTTGCCTTCTATAGTAGGTGTCCAGTGTGGCCAATTGGCGTAGTCTCTTTGATCACCAAAGTTAGGTGCTCCAGGAATGTCCCTTGCATTGGTTACATGAGCCCTCCTGTTGTAGTTCAGTTTTGCTTGCTGTTGGCCCATCTCATCCATGGGTGGGGTTGACACTCAGGTTGGCTGACTATGAGGACTAACTGCAACCACAGTGAACAAACTGCTGTGCAAAAGCTGACCCCATCAAGTGGAATTAATCCCAGCAGGGTCTGTTGCCTGCAAGATCTCTCTTTGGGTGTTCTGCTTGTGAAGCCAACTTGGTCATGCTCTACTGTGGTCTGAAATGCAGAACTGGGTGTGTTGGCTCTTGGGTGTCGTGGAAGGGACTCCAGTGCATGTCACTGTCAAATGCTGTCCTTGAATGGCCCTGGGCTACCTCTTTGGAGCTACCCACCAAGCAATCCATAGTTTGTGGCTGCCTCTGCTGGGCCTTGAGTATACAAGGGACCAGCCAAGCTGCATACCAATGTTGACTTCCACCAGTACCAAGCCTGGGGGCAGGTCAGCAAAAGGGCCAAGGCACAGAGATATGCCTCCACCTGTGGGCCACCTGTTAGGCTTAGTCACTGAGAGACCCTCTGGCAGTATGCAGGTTATGTGAGGTATTCTCAGTGAACCACCGAGTAGAAACAAGTGATGTTCATGAGGTTGATACACATTCAATCTTGGTGCTAGTACTGGGCCTGAGGCCACTCAGCCAAAGTCCCAGGGTACACCAAGGCCAGTTGCCACCCACCTGAAACCTGTGGACCTTTGTGTCTCAGGGAGTTTTCAGGTTAAGGCCAGTAGAGTTCATGAAGCTAAAACAGACCAAGATGTGGCCATGTGGAGGAAGAGCTCTGCACAGGAATGGTGGTGTCAGTCGGGGCATGTGGTGAGTGGTGAGTAGGTGGAGAAATGAATCTTCTCGAGAGCCTCCCATTAAAGTCTGTTCCACAGGCCTAGGCTGGCCACAGCCAACAAACTTCTCTGCAGGGAACAAGTGTGGCAGGGCAGGGCCACAGGTGGTTGAGACAGTAAACCAGTGCATCCACCCAAGCTGACGCAAATGGAGGCAGAGTGCTTGACCCAGGAAAGATGGCACCTGTGAGTTGTGTGGGAGAGGGACTCAGCACAGGGACAATGGCGGCTGTCTCTCTAGCTCTCTCCTCAAAGCCACATAACCCAATCTCTCCTTGGATGACTCATCTCCTCTGAGCCCTTTAAGAGGGGGGCTGGGTTTCTAGTAGACTCCCATCTCACTCTGGCAGATGAAATTCCCGCAGATTTTCAGTCAGATATTATGTGGGCTCCCTTTTTCTAGTTCTCTTGGCTGGGAAGCCTAGAGTAAGGGTAAGTCCCACCACTCCACAGGGGGACCTTTGCAGATGAGATATCCCGCCTAATTCTCAACCACAACATGCGGGTGCTCTGCCCTTCACACTAGTCTCAATGTGGCTGCTTCTGTACATCCTTGGTTCTGAGACTTCTCTTCAGCTGGTCTTCAGTTGGTTATTCAGGCTGGCTGTTCGATAATTTGGTCCTGGGAGGAGGTGAGCACACTGCTCTGATCCCTTCTTGGATCTCCAGTAGATATTAAAATGGCTTGATGGCATGTAGCTAATTAAGCACAGAATGCTTAGGATTAGAATAAATGGGCTATCTAATTTCACGGAGAGTGAAATGTGTTTTCTTTTATACAAGGAATATATGAGAGCAGGTAAGAAAAATTTTTTTAAATGTAACTGTGGGGAAGATATGTGTATAGATGTTGGGTAGTCAAAGTGGCAGACTACAGTTGATATTCTTTTTGCTGATTTGTTCCTATTGGGAGAAAAGTCCCAAGATCTACCTCACTGCAGAAGGCAAAGTGGAGCAGATAATCCCTCTCCCTGTCTCTAAGGAAAAGGAATGTGAGTCTCAGGGAGTTTTCAGGTTAAGGCCAGTAGAGTTCATGAAGCTAAAACAGACCAATGCCTTAAATATAGCCAACCAATTGGTCTGATGCATAATTCTGAAGTAAAGATCTGTACTTTCATTACTTAGAAAGAGAATCAAAATCCATGGCAGAGCTGTAAGTGTCCAGTGGTAAAGTCCAGAACTATCATGCCCAGATGTGACAGTGGCAGCAGAGATATATAAAACAAACCATGAGTTGAAACCTTGGCTATCCTTGCCTCCCTTGGTTCCTACCTATTTTATTTTCCCAGTATCCTCCTAATAAATTCTTCCACTGATTCAAGATTATTTCAGGGACTTTTATTCAAGAACAGTGACCGGCATAAACACATGAATGGCCTTTAGCCATCAGGAACAGAGAACAATTCACTGCCTGTATATATATTGGAAGTTAAGGAAACTATAGTGGAAGACTCTGGCTCAAAGCTAGAATATTTACTTTTCTTTTAAACTAGAGGCCCCTAACTGCCCTCCCCTGCAGGCCATCTTGTGGAGGCCATCTTGTGCAAGGGCGTGATGATCAATTTGCATATTACCTCTTTATTATATAGGATTTTTATTGATTTCAGAGAGGGGAAGGGAGAGAGAGATAGAAACATCAATGATGAGAGAGAATCATCAATCAGCTGCCTCCAGCATGCCCCCTACTGGGGATTGAGCCCACAACCTGGGCATGTGCCCTGATCAGAAATCAAATCTTGACCTCCTGGTTCATGGGTCGACACTCAACCACTGAGCCACACCAGCTGGTCTAGAATATTTCTTTCTTTCATTAGTATGTTAGTTTGAGTCAAATGAACCTATAGATAGATAACCATTTTTTACCTAAAAACAAAATTTCATGCAGTTTAACCTAATATTTCTGGGCTGTATTCAGAGGCATGATAATATCTATTTCTCTCTACCTGGCTATTCTTAACTAATATTAAAAAGTTACCTTCTATTTCTTTTCCTTTATTGAATTAACAAAATTATACAGGTATCAGGTATATAATTACAGAATACATTATCTGTACATTGTATTGTGTGTACATCACCCCAGGTCAAGTCTCCTTCCATCACCATTTTCCCCCCATATAGCCCTCTCCACCTCCCTGCTGCAATCACACCACTGTCCATGTTCATGAGTTTTTTCTCTTTTTTCTTTTAATCAATCCTTTCACCCTCCAACTCAGCCCCCAACTACCATCCCTGACAGCTGTCAGCCTGCTCTCTGTCTATGAGCCTGTCTCTATTTTGTTTGTCAGTTCAGTTGCATTAAAAGGCATGGTACTATCTATCTCTCTACCTGGCTATTCTTAGCTTAATTAATTAATTAATTATTTAAATCCTCACCTGAGGATTTTTTTTTTTTCATTTTAGAGAGAGAAAGAGAAACATTCATGTGAGAGAAAAACAATTGCCTCCCACACCTGGCCTAACCAGGGATTGAACCTGCAACCTAGCTATGTGCCCTGACTGGGAATTTGCCAGCAAACTCCTCATGTTAAATGAGATTTCGTATAATTCTTAAAGTAATTAAGAAAAACATATAACTTATGAGTACCTGAGTATAGTTACCAACACCTAGAAAACAGGAAAATTTATTTTCTTTTACCTATAACATACATGTTGCATTTCCTTTTATATTTACACAGCATTAAAGGTAGTTCCTCACCAAATAATATATAATAACTCTTTAGACACTTAAAGGTAATTATTAATTTAGCCCTCAGCATTTCTCTTCATACTCAGCCATACTAAATTCCTTTACTATTTCCTGGAATCTGCTTTCCAGTCCTTTCTCATAGTCTCTGAACCTAGTACACATTTGCCAAATCTTCCAAATTGCAGAACTCAGTATATCCTGAAAGCAGGTGAAATGTGAAAGAAGAGACCAATTTTCGGTTTATGGAATATATGCCCCCAGAGAAGATGATTAAAAAGAAGTCAATGATGTGAAGTATGAACTGGGAACTACAAGAAGCAGCCAAATACTTACGTGTGCAAGGCAGACACAACACACTGTGGAAAATGAGAGAAAATTGGTTGGCTTTCGTGTTTCTTTGTTTTTTTAACCTATCACCAATCTCCTCTCAGAGAGTCCAATAACAAGTTATTAGATTCCGCTCTACAAAAATAGTTCTTAAGTTGCCACAATGCCTGCTTCAGTACCCCTGAGCTGACGGGAGCTTTTACCTGAATGGCACTTCTTCCTGTGGAACAGCCACGTAGTAACGAATGAAAAATCTCTCCGAGTCTTCGCGCTCATCGTCGGTAACAACACTGCCATTAAGTTTGGAAACTGATGGCAATCTGTCAGTAAAACCAAAATAAAGACATTTTCAGATATTAAAAGCATTTAGCTTTGGAAACAGAATTATTGACTTGAGCCATTATTCTCCTGAAAGGAACTTTTGGTGCAGCTCTGCTTGTGTACAACTACTGACAGACTAAAGGGGCATAATATAAAAGGAACCAAAATATTTAAGCTTCATTTTTGGATGAGACACTGCCCTTTTATAATCACAACTCCCTGTTCAAAATAACATTTTAGGTGGCATTGTCAAACCTGAACATAATGCAAGCCACATATGTAATTTACACACAGTCTCTAAACCTAGTACACATTTGCCAAATTCCAAATCGCAGAACTTAGTATATCCTGAAAGCAGATGCAAATGTATACTAGGTTTACCAGCCATATTTTAAAAAGTAAAAATAAAGCAGACGGAATTCATTTTAATAGTATATTGTATTTAACCCAATATATGCAGGATATAATAATTTCAACCTGTAATCAATACAAAAAAATAACTCATGAGATACTTTACATTCTCTTTTGCATATAAAGTGTTTGAAATCCAATGTGTATTTTATGCATATAGCACATTTCAATTCAGACTAGCCATATTTCAAGTGCTTAAAAGTCACACATGGCTAATGGAACCAAACTGGACAGCAGAAGTCTATAGAGTAGTAGGGACAGTTTGGTCATATACTTCAGGAATCAGCTTATTATATTTACAAAAGAGCTATGTAAAAAACACAAGACCCACAGTAGGACTTGTCCTTCCTGGAAGACAAGGATGCTGAAACTGATTTCTTCAGGGAGGTGTCAATGTCCATGTCCCTGCGAGTGGCAGGGAAGCCCTGTTGGGTGTCAGTGGATCAGAGAGATCAACACTGTTTAAGATCTTCTTCCAGGGACCTTAAAGCCTACTGCTCAACCTTTCGAAACTGCTGTGATAGTGCACAAAGGGAGCAGATCAAAGCTCCATGCCCTTCACACCTTAGCTGAACATTGCTGCTGCTAAGGTACATACAGAATAACACGCAAAGGTCATTTCAGTAGTCTGTGGGAGTCTGAGACAGGAAAGGAAGAAGATAAAATAGTAGCCATATCTAAGTCGACCTATATAATAATCAGAAAATACAGATGCTGCTCTCTTAAGTTTTACACTAATGCAACAGCCTGATTTTTAGTATTTACACTTTAAATGACCACCATGTTAACAGAAAAAATAAGGACAGCTGATTCTACCTACCTTTACTTCATGACCCAAGACAGAACTTCAAATATTATAAGTATCAAAAGTATAAAAATAGAATAGATTGGTGAGGGGATTTTGCAGTGGTCTTGGCAGGCCAATTACATTTCACATTTTTCTCATTATATTGCATTCCTTTCCTTCCAGGATTTCAAACTACAAAAGCAGCTCCTTCAAGCACAGTCTGTTCACGAGTTGGATCAACTTATAATGCACTCCCTCCTAAGGAGTGTCTCATTCCTGCAATGCAATCACAAGGCCCCAGGGGAGGGAGGCAGAGGAACTGGACAACAGACCTGGCTATTACCAACTTCCTGCGCTCCTCGGTGGTGTATGGCTGCAGAAGAGGAATGCCTAACAATCTCACTTCTTCAAGTTTAGGGAATGAATTTAGTTTGTCAATGTCTTCCCAGGACTGCAAACCTAATTTGAGAAACATATTTTTTAAATAAATCCAGAAAAGTACACGAATAAGAAGATAAACATAGAAAAAAAAACTTCAGTTAATATGTGAAATATTAAAATAATCGTAAACTAGTTAGAGATCCTGAATTTTTTTTAATCCAAGGAAAGAATGGAATACATTTTCACAGCATAAAGACTTCCCTAGTCTCTCCTATCCCTGTGATCCCAGTGGTCAAGGAGAGAGACCTTCACTCTCCGGCATCCACTCATTTACTAACGCTCCATCTCAACGGCTTGTAAAGAGAGACACAGGTGATTTCAGTAAGCAGGATGTATGCCATGATTACAGAAAAATGGTGATATGATAAGTTTTCCCATCAAGTACAGACTCACAGAACAGGACCGTTTATTGATCAGTAGATTCTGTCAGACTCAAATGTTTTTACCTAATAAATTCTAGAATGGGGCAAGTTCAACAGATCCAGAAACTAAGTATTAACTCTCTTTCATACTGTCCTGATTTTGGGGACAGGGAAAACAAATTCAAAATTTAAAGGAAACAAAAACAAAAAACCTGAACCTTTGGGTAAGAACATGCAATAAATTAAGTTCATCTAGTCCTAAAATGAAATCCTTCCTATCGCTGTGTTCTTACCTTTGGGTAAGAACATGCAATAAATTAAGTTCATCTAGTCCTAAAATGAAATCCTTCCTATCGCTTGGGTAAATATATCACCCAAGTCAATACTTGGCAGTGGTTGGAAAAATATCCCTGTAACAATGAAGCTGGCCGATTTTACAACACGTTGAATCCAAGTTAGAGAATGTGATCCCTTCCTATTTCTGTCCATCTCCAATGAAGATAAAGCAAAGGAGCAATTTATGAGGACTCTGGTGCATGACCCCCCCATCACAACCGTCCTCTCCCTTCAGCATGGCATTTCCATCCAGGAGGAAGAATGGAATTAGCTCAAGGGGTGTCAGTTATGAAACAAACAGCTTCATTATGCAAAATACTAGTTTTTAAAACTTAGTTCTCACCCTTATACCTTCTACAGTGAATTCAACTGTTTATATTTTTTCTGTTGTAGGTTATTTACTTTAAGTTATGTAGTTGTTTTAAGAAATAGGCTACCAGTAAAAGACAATGTCATGAGAATGAAACGAAAAGCCACAGACAGGGAGAATATATGTGCTAAAACATATCTGATAAAGGATCGTTACCCTATAAAATACACAAAGAACTCTTAAAACTCCACAATTAAGAAAATGAACAATCTGATTAAAAAATGGGTGAGAGACCTAAACAGACACCTTACCAAAGGATATATATAGATGGCAAGTAAGTATACGAAAACATATTCAACATCATATGTCACTAGGGAAGTAAAGACAGAAAAAAGGCCTTTCTTTTTATTTGCTGTGACCTTCCACAATTTATGAGAAGTACCTGGTAATTAAACCCCAAGATATTACCTCCTCTGTTTCAAACAGCCCCTCTGTTCAAACTGTGGGACAAGATAAGCTACTCTCAGGCTACATTCTTGCATCCACCTCCTCCCTGCTGTTTTCAGAACACAGGGATAACTCCCACCAAGGAGTCTCTAATTAGTAAAAAGTTCACTTCCCCATTCCCCTTCAAAGAAGCCTCTTTTAAACTTTCATAACTTTTGCTCTAAGCTTGTTCTACAGGCTTGGGAAAAATGCTGATAAGATAGCTCCCTAGCACATCTGCTGGACTATCTTCTGGAAAGCAAATAAACTGTAACTTTTCAAGACAACTCCTCCCTTCCTTGTCACCTAGCAATGACAGCATTATTCTTTCAAAGTGGAAGCGCTTTTTGTTCCCTACCCTGTATTGACTAGCAATGCACCAGCCCTTTCCTTTCTTGGAAACTAAAATAAACTTTCTGCATCTCTTCTTAAGCTGCGAATTCTTCCACAGCCCGTCACCAGCCAAACCCTAACATTTTGGTGGCCCGTATAGGGAGTTAACTTCTCTTCTCCTCCAACTTCTCCTCTGTCTCTGGAAATTCTATCTCTTCTCTCAGTTGTGAATTCTTTCACAGCCTGCATCACTGCCCAAATCTAACAAGGGAATTGCAAATTAAAATAACAATGAGATACCACTATGCACCTATTAGAATGGCCAAAATCAAAACCTGACACCACCAAACGCTGACAAGGATATGAAGCAATGCTCATTCATTGCAGGTACAAAATGTTACTTTGGATACAGTTTGTCAGTTTCTTACAAAACTAAACATACTCTTACCATATGATTTAGCAATTATCCTCCTTGCTATTTATCCAAATGAACTGAAAATTTATGTCTACATGAAAACTGCACACAGAGGTTTACAGCAGCTTTATTCATAATTGCCAAAACCTGGAAGCAACCGAGATGTATTTTAGCTTGTGAGTGGATAAATAAACTGCGGTAGATCCAGACAGTAGACTAGCACTGGTTGAGCCTCACAGGGTGTAAGTGCTAAAAATAAATAAGCTATCAAGCCATAAAAAGACATGAAGGAAAGTTAAGTGAAAGAAATTAATCAGAAAAGGCTACATACTGTATGATTCCAAGTACATGACATTTGGAAAAGGCAAAACTATGGAAACAGTAGAAAACATCAATGGTTGCCAGGTTGGGGAATGCAGGGAGGATAAATGGGCAGAGCATAGAGGATTGTTAGAGCAGTGAGACTACTAAGTATATTATACTACAGCGGTAGGTACGTGTCATTGTACATTTTCCAAACCCAGAAAATGTGTACCACCAAGAATGACCCTAATGTAAACTAGGTGGTGATGCGTGTAGTGCAGGTTCAAATGTAACAAACGCATCACTGGTGCTGGGAAGCTGAGAGTGAGGGAGGTTGTGCTTGTGTGAAGGGAGGGAGCATGCGGACACTTTCTGTACTTTCTGCTCTATTTTGTTGTGAATCTAAACTGCTCTAAAAAATAAAAGTTTGTTAATTTTTTAAAATCGGCTAAAAATATTCACTCCTGTGATACACAGAATTAGATGGCAACAAACTGGCAATCAAATGTATAAGTACATACTAGAAAAGAAAAGAGAAAATTTGAAAGGCACAGCAGTTTGGGATTCCCTAACCTAAATCCACACAATATGGTCTAGTTTGCAATTCCTTGTATTCTTTTTACTCTGCCTTTTACTATACAATTCATCAATTTCACTCCTTTCACAGCATGACCCCTTTAATATATAAAATGTAAATAGCTAATATAATGCTTGGCCACTTGATTTATGACAATGAATCCTTAAATTCAGCTAATCCACAGGCACCTGCAGGTCGCTCCTGAAAATGATCCTGAGAAGGCAGAGCTGACTGCAGGAATACACTTGCACTGCATTTCATGCATAAGCTCAGCTCAGTTCACATGTGGAATGAGAACAAGCCAATACCTCACCTGACTTGTGGAGGCTGATGGACCGCAGGTTAGGAAACAACCTGGCCAGTGAGTCGTCAGGCTCCTCAATAGCGTTCAGGTGGTTGTTGGCCAGGACCAGGGTATCCAGTGAAGGAAACATAGCTCCTAACTTTCGTATTTCAGTCCAGTCTTGGAGATTGTTGTCTGTTATATGTAGGAGCTTCAGAGAATGACAGCAAATAGAAGGACAAGACACTGTTTCATAGTCATTAAGGCACAGGAAGAGCTCCTCCAAACTGGAGAGAAAAAGAGAAATGTTTCATTGTGTAGAGCAGTTAACCTCCTACTTGGCATTCACTCAAGAAATAAATGCTACTATGTGTGAGCCTCTGCTAGGTGTTACAGAGAAAATACAGATATCTTCCTAAAGCTAAAATACAGCTGAGACCACAGCAGAGAAACCCAGAACTAAATTAACTTGTGCTTAATTAAGCAGTACTAACTGTAAGTACAATAGTATTTCATAGAGACATGGAATTAAAATTGTGTTAGAATAATCAGGTAAGGGTGCATAACCTTGAAGGAGGGGCAGACTTATACAAGAGAAGATGGAAGAAAATTCCAGAAAAAATAAGAACAAATATTTAGAACAGAAACAATACCTACCATTTATTGAATTTCTACCCTGTGTCAGGCCCCATGCCAGATGCTTTATAGACTGACTGTTCTTCTATTTCTGCAAGGTAGATCTAGTTATGCCCATTTTATAGACAAGGAAATAGAGCTCAGAGAGGTTAATTAGCTTATCAAAGGTCATCTATCCTATCTAATAAAAGAGAAACATGGTAATTAGCCGTACCTCTGCTACCCTTCCCATTGGCTAATCAGGGCGATATGCAAATTAACTGCCAGCCAAGATGGCAGCCTGCAGCCAGGCAGCTTGAAGCGAACATGAGGCTTGCTTGCTTCAGTGACGGAGGAAGCCAACGTTCCCCGCCTGC